AGATAGATAGATAGATAGATAGATGATAGAGAATTCAGGAAAATACTTAAGATAGATGTAGCATTCTTTGAGCTTTTAACAGGTGATCAAACATGGCAATTTGGAGGTTAACATCTCAGCCTCAGCCAGCCTGTAAACATAGTCCAGCAGATATAAAGTATATCCTTTACACTGAGAATTATTACTCAAACATACTTTGCTGACCACTTTTCTCAAGTACCAAATGATAATGGGGAACAAGTCCTATTTTCACAGATAGACTCCAACACGGAATCAAAAACTAAGCAGTCACTATTTTGTCTTTTTCAGGTTGGAAATGATTTTGTCTTCCACATTGCTGCACAGCTGGTGCCCAGCAGGCACTGGTAGCTCTCCCAGCCTATTTGAATTTAAACTGAATTTCCCCCAGCCTTGGGGGCACCAAAAGGTGGACTGTGAACTGGACCCAAGTAAAATTGTTCATTTCCTAAATAGAATATATACAGGAAGTCTTTCCCACTCATGCTCAGCTACTGGAGACCAATTGCCCCAATTCCAGACCTTTGAGAGCACTGTCACAGTCATCAAGGATTTGGCTAACCCTTGGGTGGAGAAGCTGGGCAAAGATGCAAGTTGCAAGCCCCGGAAATCTCAGAGGCCGGATCTGCTTCAATCGGTGAGCCAAACTCTCCTTTGTGGCTCAAACATTGCAAGAGATTTCCTAGCCTATTTGAATTTAAACTGAATTTCCCCCAGCCTTGGGGGCGCCAAAAGGTGGACTGTGAACTGGACCCAAGTAAAATTGTTCATTTCCTAAATAGAATATATACAGGAAGTCTTTCCCACTCATGCTCAGCTACTGGAGACCAATTGCCCCAATTCCAGACCTTTGAGAGCACTGTCACAGTCATCAAGGATTTGGCTAACCCTTGGGTGGAGAAGCTGGGCGAAGATGCAAGTTGCAAGCCCCGGAAATCTCAGAGGCCGGATCTGCTTCAATTGGTGAGCCAAACTCTCCTTTGTGGCTCAAACATTGCAAGAGATTTCCTGCTAAGCAAACCGTTTGTCTCTCAACTTCCCACTGCTTTGTTCTTCCTTTGTATCTGAGGAAACAGGAAACCAAATCACCTGGCTTTAGAACACAAGCCCTGTCTGACTCTGCCCATTGATTCCTATAATGGGCACAATGCTGTCTGTAAATGATAATCCCCAACCTGCTCTTCCCTGGAGCTTCAAGGGACTGCCTCCCTTGCCTCCTCCTCCTTCCCTGCCAAACCCTAAGCTCCAAATCAGCTGTTTGTAGCTTGATGCTAATCTAGTTCTTCACAGTTAGCACCCCATTACTTGTGATGAAACTCCACAGGGCCTTCTGGGCCACCTTCCCATGTAAGGTGGGCTCAGAAAAAGCTGACTTGCTGGGCTTTGAACTAAAGGCAAACGTTATTAATAAGAATAAATCTCCTCCAAAGAATCTGATGGCAGCAAGTTCAACAGTGAATTTCAAGAGGAATCAAAGGGACTGGGACATGTACCCCCATCCTATCCTTCACACACACACACACACACACACACACACACACACACACACACCGTTACTACTGCCACCCACATGGGTAGCTGAGAGGCAGAATCCTGGTGCTCTCTTCTTTTGTGTGTTCCAGAGCTGTCTTTCCAGGCATCACAACCCTCAGTATCAAGGTAGGCCTAGAGTGTGGCTTGATGAACCCAGAATCTTTCCAATTTTTTGCCAGAGTTTCTTGGAGGTTAGCTGTTCCCTTCTAAACTGTCCATAAGCAAAAGTTCTAGCAAGATAACAGCAGTGCCTCTCCAAACTGAATTATCCCTGTCTCTGCACTACCGCGTGTGTTCCATGTTCCTAACAGAAGTGGTAACATTGAAAGATGGATGAAGACATCCTTCCACAAAACTGAGAAGCAGGGTGGGGAAATTCCCGAGCGTTTAGGAAAATTGAAATGCCAGTATGTGTAGGAAAAGCATCCTCATCTGGAGGATTGCTCAGACCAGGAAAGACGCACCAGGTTGTCAAACCCTGAGGCAGGCTGGGTGGAGTGCTGGGCAGAAGACAGGGCCCCAGAGACAAGTTCATTGCACCTGTTTGTCGCCCTGGACAGCAGAGCACTGAAGTGAGAGGGCAGAAACAGACTAGGAAAGCAAACAAAGGGAGTAAGGGAGACCTGGGCCTGTTCATGCACAAAACGCAAAAGCAGCTAGAAGAAAACGCTGCAGGTCCGAGGCTGTTTACTCTCTCTTCCCTCTCACTGCCCTGTTAGTTTTAGGGAGGGAGAGGAGAGTTTTGGAGAGAAAGCCACTGAGTCTAATTGAATTCTTTAAACAAGAGGTTTATTAATGCCAACAGCATGGTGGGATATGAAGAAGAGCTTTAGTTCCTGACCCCGCCCCCACCCTAGACGAAGCAAGGTCTTCCTTTAAGGTTCTTTAGGAGGAGGTAGAGACCAGGGAGGCATTTTACCACAAAGGAGTAGGTAACGTCTCTTTGCATTGACAAAATGAGATTAAAAGACCCTATTTGCCCTGTGATTTGGGCCAGGCTACAAGTACATTGACATTGCAGAGTAGATTTTTAAATAAACAGTTAGATGGAGACTTCTACAGAGCAATGGGCCTGGCTGATATGTGGCCTGTGAGATATGGTATGTGGGCTGCATGGGGCTGGTTAACACATGACAGTGAGACATGACCATAGTCAGGCTGCCTCTGATACGGCTGGGTGTGTTCTTGTCTGCCTGCTCTGTTTAGGGCCTGGTTATTCTTTGCCAGTGTGATATGACATTCCCCACTGCTCCTCTGTAACTAGACTCCCATACCTATTCAGGTCCCAACAGGCTGGCTGCCAGCCATTTTCACTAATGTGTGCTGACAATAAAACTGGTTAGCAGTTGGAACACTGGTAAATAACACTGCTTTTCCCTGTGCATTTGCATTTAATACACTTAAAGTCCACTCCAAACAAGAAATCCAGGACTCAGAAAAGCATTATCTTTTTGGCAGCCAGTTACACTGAGCAATATTTTGCTGGCCTTAGAGGACTGTGCCTCCTCACGAATTCCTGTGCAGCTGCCCCTCCTCTTCTCCTCCTGGGCATGAAGCACATCTGGATTCTCAAAAGAGCTCTCGCCTTCACCATCCCAGAGTTGGCTCCTGTCTTCAGCCCAGGCTTCTGGGGTCCAAGGCACAATAACCATCCAGAGAGGGTGGAAGGGTCCTGGTGTGCTCATACACTGGATCAGTGTCTAGTGCAAGGCAGACAACCTCAGGCCAGCGTTCACCTCCCAGGGCTCAGGACACCCACAGCTTCCAGAGCAGGATAATCATGAAGGGCTATGGGCAGAAGACTAGGGACTGACCCAATCCTTCAAACGCAGAGTTCCCACCAATGCCCACCCACCAAAAAACCTCAAAGCAGCAGTCCACCTTGCACTACCAATATCCAATAGCTACAGCCATTGATCTGAACCTTTTCAGGTTCTGTAACACTTTTTTTAACTATATTATTGTGTGTGTGTGTGTGTGAGAGAGAGAGAGAGAGAGAGAGAGAGAGAGAGAGATATTTTTTTATTGAAGGTACACATTGTCAGGTGGAAGTCAGAAGATGCTTTGTGGAGTCAGTTCTCTTCCTCTACCTTTACTTATGAGTTTCAGGGATCAAACTCAGATTGTCCAAACTTGGTAAAAAAGTGCAGTTACCTGCTGAGCCATCTTGCCAAAACCATCTTTGACACTTTGGAAAAATATGGTGAAAGCTGTTGAGGAATGTTCTTCTACACACACACTCAAAATGTAGCGTTCAATTTTAATTTAATTTCAGAAATAGGTATAGACTGGCCCAAGTAGGAACCGTGGTTTCATTGTTCTGCTGACAGTTCTCTGTTATCTTCATCCCCAACACCTAAGTGAGGACAGGAACAAGCTTCCCAAGCCATTTGGAAAAATATGGTGAAAGCTGTTGAGGAATGTTCTTCTACACACACACTCAAAATGTAGCGTTCAATTTTAATTTAATTTCAGAAATAGGTATAGACTGGCCCAAGTAGGAACCGTGGTTTCATTGTTCTGCTGACAGTTCTCTGTCATCTTCATCCCCAACACCTAAGTGAGGACAGGAACAAGCTTCCCAAGCCGCAGCTCAGAAATCCGGTTCAATGGTTGTACTCTGGTGAAGGAGAGCCATTTGTCACTGACTTTCCCATTTTACCAGGTCCTAGGAAAATCCACAGATATATTGACTGGGAAGTTAGTTCACAGACGACAGACAACCAGAGCACAGAATCCCATGGGCCAACATTTGAGTAATCTGTTCTTTGAGTTTTATGCATGTGTTGAACTATCTATCCATTTCTGTTATTCTATTTTTATTTCATTAAGTTGGGAATTTGGGAGTAGAAATGTTCATAGAAAAAACTTCCAAAACTGTTACGTTCAAACTGCAAGTGTGAGACCAGGGGACTATCCTAAAGTAGCTTAAGATAAGCCTAAGATCATCCACCTGCCATAGAAAACAGAATCACCCTGCCCCCTCTCTCTTCCCTCTTGTCTTTTCTCTCTCCTCTCTCTTTTTCTCTCTCCTCTCCCTTCTCCCCCTCCTTCCTTCTCATACACACACTTCTGTGCACCTATCTTCCTAATTTCCCAGGAGGTGCATCTAAGACATCTAGCTAGAATCTAAGCTATCTCAGAGACCACCAGTTCTCGGAACATCACTCTGTTTCCAAATCACCCACTTGAGACCAACCAGTAAAGCTCTCCACTCTAAGTTAAGGACGTTTTAAATCCTTAAGTTCTTGAACTGCTGACTCAAGTTTCAAAAGTGAAGAGACTCAGAGCAGTCTGGGAAGTCCTGGGGGGGAGAGCAGGTGCTGGAGATACAGCGAGGGGTGAGGGGTGCTAACGGCCAAGACAACACAGGTTCCTTCCTCCCAGATGCCCGCCCCTTCCTTCACTCCCAGGAGGCTTATCCACAGAGGAAAGACAAGCGACTCAGAGAGGCTTGAGGTATGATGACTTTATTATTCTGTAGGTACATTTTCAGGGGCCCAGTCCCATGTGCAGTCGCTCTACTAATGCTTGTGGCTCTCTCTATGGGCTGCCACGCCAACTTTTATCACCAGTACAAGGAACTCCTCAAAGTTCACTGCGCCGTCCTCATTGAAGTCCAGCTCTTTGAACCAGGTTTCTGCATCCTTTTTCTGTGTGGACAGAAAGGGAAGAAGTCAGACTGTAAAGATCTCAGAGAAAACTGAGACATGGTTGTCTACAGAAAGAAACATGGAGTCCCAGTGATCCCAGAATTGTCAGAGAACCCCAAGAATGCACATGTCCTCACCTGTATGTACTGAGGACACTCATTACTGATCAGTTTCTTCAGGTCATCCCTGTAGAGGGCGTGGTGATTCCCTTTCACGAGGGAGTATTTGTGGAAGACATCAACGATGGCATTCAAGGACTTCTCTAGATCAGTCAGCATTGTGTCTAAGGACTGGCCCGCCTGAAAGAAGGATCCACAAAGGGATGGATGCTGTAATTACAGTGGAGTGAGCCTAAGTGGACACTCAGAAAGTGTGTGACCCAAGAAGCAACTTTGACTTGGCCTATACCATCCAGATAACGAAACACAGCAGATGGCTGTGTCTTTTATGGGAAGGCATGCAATGGAGCATTGGAGGGGCTTCAGCACACACACACACACACACACACACACACACACACACAGTGTAGCAAACTCTCTGTGTGGCAGCAATTCCCACTTTCCCCCACAGCACAGTGCTAGGACACGCCACTCCTTCTCATCCCTGTCCCACTCTCCTCCTCCCCAAGCACTAGACCTATGCTGCGGAAGGCCCAAATCTGGCTCTCCCCTCTCAGAGAAGGCGACTCCATCCCCAACCCTCCCTAAGAGAAGAATACAATGTGAGGTAGACCCACACAGCTCCACTTACCAGGTATCCCTGAAACAGAGCTGACAAAGGCTATGCAAGGCTGAGTGCCAGCCTGCTTTTATAGCAGAAGGCTTGGCCAACTGCCCACAGCCTCGGGCTATAGAGACAGTGCTCTTCCCTTCCAGAGTTGCCACAGCCTCCAGTTTCTCAACCAGGTCCATGTCGCAATCACTGAGCATGGTGGGCATTTCTGAGTCTGAGGAGGTGGGAGAGGTGGAACGGGAAAGATGTTTACCAGACAGGAGTGCCCAGGAGGAAGCACCAAGGGAGACGATGAGCAGTCCTTTTCTGGGCACCTGGTATCTCATCCTTTTCGCGAGACAGACTCCCAGGCCTGAGCTCTGTCCTCTATTGCCATTGCTGATCCAATGTCTTTGTGGACAATCCACACACTGTTGAAACTGAACTGAAATGAAAGGTTTCTCTGTAAGTGTGAGTGCATAAAAGATTATTCCTCTGGACTCTCTCTTCCTTGAACCACTCTGCTTAGGTTCCACTCTATAGCAGAACTAGATGAACATTGTCATGTGAGCTAGAGGAAATATTTGAAAATGGAGAAAACTGTAGCTGGTAAATGTCATTGCTAGCTCTGGGAGGTGAGGCCAGTGAGGCTCATATGGACTTGCTGGAGCTTGGCAGCCCATCGTTGTACCATAGACAGATCTATAATCCTTCAAGAAGACAAAAGCCCATCTCTGATGTCAATAGGGAAGAAGAAATTCTATATTGTTCTAAATTCTTTCTCAAGCAGCATATATACATATACAAATATATGTGTTTATTTTCCTTTAAAATTCTATTAGCCTGTGTGGTTTTCCCGCCCATCGTTGTACCATAGACAGATCTATAATCCTTCAAGAAGACAAAAGCCCATCTCTGATGTCAATAGGGAAGAAGAAATTCTATATTGTTCTAAATTCTTTCTCAATCAGCATATATACATATACAAATATATGTGTTTATTTTCCTTTAAAAAAAAAGATTATTCCTCTAAAGTGTCAAAGACCACAAAAACACTGAAAAAAAAAAAAGTTGGAGTATTACTTTGAGGACTGTGTTTTGGATTAAGTGAATAGTCTCTACAGGGACCTGTGTTCCCAAGAGCTAGATCAGTTCCTATCCCACTACCCTAGTCATTCAGAGCATCCTGGTCCGGAAGAGTCCTGTGAGACTAACACTGGCCTTAGGTCTGTCTGCCTTGTGCACTAACCCACTGCATAATTATAACAGAGACCCTTCCACCCTCTCTGGATGGTTATTGTGCCTTGGACCCCAGGAGCCTGGGCAAAAGAGGAACTCTCACTCTGGGAATGGTGAAGGGGAGAGCTCTTGAGAATCCAAATATGCTTCATGCCCAAAAGGAGAGGAGAAGGGGTAATTACACAGGAATTCATGAGGAGAAACCCCCTGTCCCCAATAAAATGCCAGTCAGATTAATGACTGCGAACACTGCAGATCTGTGGGGTAGTTCTCATATGACAATGAACTTCAACCAAATTGCTCCTAAGAGCTTCAGAATATGCCTATCAGGAAGATGGTGCACAGAGCAGGCCACTGTGCAGAGGAGGAAGTGACAGCCCAGAAAGGTGGAGGAATCCACCCAGTTTCCCAGCACAGGTGTGTCAGAGTTGCTGAGTCCCAACCATGACCTGACAAGAGCACAAGGTACGAGGAAACCTCTCCTCTTTCCTTCCTGAAAGTCATCACATACTGACCCTGTGCTGCACCAGCACAAGGGTCACCATGGCTGTGATGGTTCATCTTGGTGTCAGCTTAATAGGATTTAGGGCCACCAGGGGAACAAATCTCTGGGCATACCTATGAGGGATTATCTAGATTAGGGTCACTGAGATGGGAAGAGCCACCTTAAATGTGGGCAGTACTATTTCACGACCCGGGGCCTGACTGAGGATAAGCAGGAAGCTGAGCACAAGCATCTGCTGCTCTGTGCTTCCTGCCTGTGGATGCAGTGTGCCAGCCGCCTCCTGCTGCTGTTGTCACAGCTTCCCCGCCATGTAGCCTCCGAAATTCTAGATCAAAAGAAGCTCTTCCTTCCTCAAGTTGCTTTTGCCAGGTATTTTGCTGCAGAAATGAGATAAGTAATGGTCTTCTTGGAGAAGTAAATTAATTCCTCTCCTTCAGGACTGCATAGCCCTCTGGGTTTCAATGCACCACTTACTCTATAATTACGTGGCCGAACTTAGTCCAGTTACTTACCCTCTCTGTGCCTTAGTTACACCAATTATTGTACAGAGATTAAGAAGAGAATATATCTTCAACCCAAGGAATAGGAGAAAATATTTATAAGTATTTATATCTCATATGGGGTTATTCAAAATAGAAAAGAACTCTAACAATTCAACAGCAAACTAGTCCAAAGGGTTTAAATAGACATTTCTCCAGACTATTTAAATGAATAGCCAATAAGCTCATAAAACAGTGCTCAACATCACTAATGATCAAGGAAATGCAAATCAAAACCACAAGATACTGTTAAGATTACTACTATCAAAAATAAAAATAAAAATAGCAGGGAAAAAAATCACACGTTGCCAAAGAGAAACTGAAAGCTTGTCGCCTCTTAGCCTTTTGTATGATCAGGTAGAGAAATTGGAAGCTTTCGCTGTCTTGATGAGGCTGTGCGGCTGCAGCGAAAACAGTGTGGTAGGTCCTTGATCAGCAAAGAATTACCACATGATCCAACCATCCCACATGTGAACGTAGAGTCAAAAGACTGGAAAATTGGTCGTCAGCATTGTCCACAGCAGCCACAGGGGGAACCGACAATGGTGTGCATCAGTGGGTCAGTGGACAAACAAAATGTGCTTCACACACAGTGGAATGTTAGTTGGCCTTTATAACATTCTAACACATGCTACAACACGGATAACATTACACTAAGTAAAATAAGCAAGTGTAAAAGGAGAAATCACATATGATTCCATCTATATGAAATATTACTGATAGCCATGTTTATAGAGGCAGAAAGTATCATGGTCTTTGCCAGCCTCTGGAAGGAGGAGGAGATGAACAGTGGTTTAATGGCTTAAACTTTCAGTTTTGCAAGACTGAAAGTCTGAAGATGTTCTAAGAAAGTTCTGAAGATGAGTTGTCCAGCTGTGTAAATATGTATAATATTACTGAAACACACTTAGAAATGGCAAAGGTAGCAAATTTTCTGTTATTGGTATTTGACCACAACCAAATTTTTAATTTTCAAATGTCTATACTTACAAAACATTTTGCCTCATGATGATTAATAATGGATGAAAATACTGTGACTTGCTTTGAAAATTTCATATGCACATACAATGAAATATGATCACATACACCCCCATTTCCCCTTCCAACTCCCCAGCATGCCACCAACACCTCCCCCTCTAACTTTATGCCTTCTTTATTTTTTGGTAACCTATTCAATCCAAATAGTGCTGCCCATATGTGTATGGACTTGGGGGGGGCACCCACTAGGGCATGGCCAATCCATCAGTGGCCACACACTCAAAGAGAATTTTTCTCCCTCCCCCAGCAGCTGCCAGTAGCTCCTCAGTAAGGGGCAGGGCCTGGAGATCACCTGCCCCATCTATTTGAGAATTTTGCCTGGCTCGATCTTGTGTAGGTCATGTGGAGGTAACCACAGCTGATATAAGTTCATGAATGGAACAGACATATCCTGCTCAGAGGACAGAATTTCACACACTCCTCCCCATCCTCCAGCTCTTACATTCTTTTTTTTATTTTTTTAATTTTATTTATTATTTTACTATTTCATGTGTATGAGTGTTTTGCCTGCATGTGTATAAGTGCACCCATGTCATGCAGTGTCAGAAGAAGGCATTGGATCCCCTGGAACTGAGTTACAGACAGTTGTTAGCTGCCATGTGGGTGCTGGAAATCGAACCCAGGTCCTCTGCAAGAGCAGTCCATGCTCTTAGTCGCTGGGCCATCTCTCCGGCCCAGCTCTTACATTCTTTCCTCTTCTTCTATGTTTTGTAAGCCTTGGCAGGGAACGGAGTGGAGTTAATAAAAAATGTTCCATTTAGGGCTGAACACTCAAGTCTCCTTTTTCAGTACTTTGACCAGTTCTGCATCTCTGTATTGACTGCCAAATAGGCTTCTCTGGGCATGACTGATATGGGGTAACCAACTGCTTTCTAATTGGATTTCATGTCTGGCATTGTAACCCTGGTCAAAAGTCCATGGCTGAGGAAGCCATAGGCCCTAAGGTAAAACCTGATGTTGTTATTGTATGCTGTTATTAATGAACACCGTGCTTAAATAGGAAGCTTACACAAAAAAGCTGGGTGTGGCGATGAATGCCTCTAATCCCAAGATTTGAGGTGACTGAAGCAGAAAGATTACTAAGAGTTCCAAGTGAGCCTAGACTACATAGTGAGATGCTGTCTCAAAACCTAAACACACACACACACACACACACACACACACAACCACAAAGTGCTCCCAGAGGTGTCGAGGGAACTCAGTGGAAGCAAGAGCTAAAACACTGCCCCAATCTGTGGCTGATCCTCTGAACAGTGAGCCCTCCAGGGCAAGACTGTGCATGTCTGAATCAGGTACCTGGCCCAGTGTGGGCCCACATAAGCTCAGCAAGCACTTCGGGAAAAATACAGAAGGGGAACTGTGACTAAAATCCAGCAATCTAGACCTGTGTTCCTTCCAGAGGGCCCTGGTTCTTGGTACCATGGTGAAGACAGGAGTCTGGATTCCTCATCCTACTCTTCCCAGAAGCCCAGAAGAGGCCTTCTGTGTCCCAGATGAGAGACAGTAAGCTGACTAGGACACAGCACACTGCCTGGCATGCACAGTGACAGCAACAACTATAATAGTGACCAATGGTGGAAAGTAATTGCTGGCATTAGCTAGGTGTGTACCACCGTCAGAACTGTCCTCAGTGCTTTACTTACATCAGCTCCTTAACACTCATAATCATACAAGGTACCTGCTATTACAACTCCCATTGGACAGAGGAGGAAACCGGGGCCCTCGGTGAGGTACTTCACCATTTGGATAAAGGTGGCTTAGGATGTCATGTGGCAGCATCCATTTCCTGCCCAGGATAGAACGTCTCTGTCCAGACACCCTCCTCAGACAACAACCCAGGTGGGGCTGCATCTGCTCCAAGTACATCCTGGCCCTCCTTCCCTCTCCCATCTATACGGCTTCTTCCTCTTTTCACCGTGCCACCCAAACCTAAACCCATCACACACCTGCCTTGCTGTGTTAGGGGTCATATGCCTACCGTCTTTCTCTTTGGGACCATCAGCCTCTCTAGAAGAGAGACCATGCGTATTTACACATCTAGGGCCCGCCACCTACCAGGTACTCAGTATTTGTTGAGGACATATACAAATGTAAATTTGAACTTCTGGCCTTTCCATTATTTAATGAAATAGCTCTCTTTATTATATTCAGCTACATTAAATCAGTTTCATAAGACAGAAGGAAAAGCAATCTCTAGATGGGAAAATAGGACCCTTATTGCAATGGGCTAGCACAAGATTTTAACCAATCATCTGCCCATGGTTCATACCTATCCTTCACTAGGTGTCGTCCTGTGTGGTCTGGTATATGCGCCTTACCCCAAATCAGAGCAACCAACTTCCAAAGTGTGTTTGTGCCCACTGACTCGCTACTCCCAGAAACCGTGTGATGTAGACATTAAGGTTAAATTCTCCGTGTTTGACTAGGGAACCACTGGTAGGCACTACTCAAGGTCCTTCCCAGGCTCCTTGCACCTAAATGTGGGTGAAGGTTTCCTGCCAGCGGGCTGCACCCATGAATCCTCCGTGAGGTAACACCCCACCCAATGGACAGCAGGCTTCTCTGACAAAGCAGGAGCTAGGTGTGGGTGCTGAGAGTTGGGTAAACACGTGGAGGAAAAGATAGAATCTGAAATCACCTACAATGTGGGGAAACCTAGAGGGAGAGGAACATGGCTGTGTTTACAGGAAAAGACTCGGTCCCCAGGTTGGTGTCTCAACAGCCAAGGGCGGAGGAAATGAAGACAGAGGAGGCACAAGTAGTGGTGAAATCCCCAGGAAGGGTTGGAAGTGGGGGTGCACAATGCTCAGGCCACCCAATCTTCTAGGATCCTGAAAGGCAAATACAATCTATCACCTTTCAGTGCAGCCAGCAGGACTCTCAGAGCCTGGACCTTGAGGAAGAGCAGGCTGAATAACCCTCACTCCTAGCTCTGTGACACAAACAAGAGGTGATAAGGAGGTGTTTACGGGAGGGGGCACAGATCTAATTCGCCATATTTCACTCTGGGAGGCCCCTTCCTGACTTCCTTCCCCCAAAACCTGCTAGAGCACTTATGTGAGGACACAAACACATGTTCAGAGACATGGAGACATGTCTCTCCATGAGATAAGGGCTTGAGGGAAATAGGAGGCAGGCATCTTCACGGAGGAGATCAATGTGGTGACTCCGTTTTGTTCTTATAAAGCCATCCTTTCCACCTCAGGAAGCTCAGGACCCAGATTCCCAGGCCCATCTTCAGGAAAGATATTCCACCAAGTTGGGCACAACAGTGTCTAAAAGCAAAGACATACTTCCTGAGGAGTTCTGCCCCTGATCTCTGGATTCCAGGGAAAGGAGTAGAAGCAATCCAGTGAGGTGACGGAGGTATTGGTCAAGAGGGCAAGAACACTGGACACAGGAGGACTTGGACCACTGAGTCATAAGAGCTCAGAGTCAGCAGCAAAGTCAGTCATCAAAATGTTACATTAGTACCAACCACACCCAACCCTTCCTTCCTCCAGGAAGCCTTCCATGGTTGACAACTCCCACATTCTATTCGTTGTTCTTCATGTGACAGATGACTACTGTTCTGCCAGGATGGGTTGCCAGCCTTGCCCTTGTTTGCCTCTCTGACTCAGGATGCATAAAACCCAACACAGTGCTCCTTGGGCACCTGGCTCTTGAGCTGACACCCATAATACCCAGGGCAAAGACCAGCACCATCCTCCACAGGGTCACCGATGCCAAACACCTGGATGTCACTCTGGATCTCTCTTCTCCTTCAGTCTGTCCCTGAGGCCTGGTTTCTATCCTGTCACCTCGTCCCCATTTGTGCCTGAGTGCAGCTACTAAGCTAGCCCACTTTGGACCTGGCCAGGCTATGCAGGAGCTCCCTATTGAGTCTGCAGTCTTTCCCCATCTGATCCATCCTCCAAGGTGTCCAGCTGCTTTCCAAAAACCCTGAGCTGGTCATATGTTCCCTGTCCCCTTACTTAAATAACTTCCCATTGCCTAATTGATAAAGTTTAAATCCAAGTGCCCCATTTTCAATGATAAACTTCAAATTTCAGTGCCCACTGTAGTTCACAGAGCTCTTTGGACACTAATTTCCAGGTGGCTCTCTGCTGCTCCAGGACATGCCACATGAGTCTCCATTGCTATTTCCTCTTCTTGAAATGCCTCCTTCCTCCCTTTTGGCCTCCTTCCAGGAGCAGGCCAGTCCCTGTGCATGCAAACTCATGGAAGGTCGATCTCCTCCCATGCACCATTATCCAAATGGCTCCCCTTATCCAATCCTGTATGTGGAGTGAGCGATCAGTATCATCACTAGGAGGCCTTGCTTCCTTCTCAGAGGGTGGCCTGCCCCCAGAGGAGCTCCCTCCTTACTGACCAAGACCACACTGTCTCCCACCTCAGACAAGCTTTCTGGAAGCAAGACTGTGTCTCCTTTATTAGACAAGGGCACCTTGGACTCAGGGCTGTATCTCCCCTTCAGACAGGGGCTCACTGTAGACAAGAGCTGTGTCTCCCATCCCAAATGATGTTCCCTAGGGTAAAACTTTTATTGACTATTGGGGGATGCCCAGAACCTCAAGCTGAGTACTTCCAAAAAATATTCGATATTGTTTATACACGTGTATGAACATAGATACAGAAACACACAGCTGAGTTCCCCAGTCAGCTGTCCACAGTTAAGTCACTCATCTGGGGTTAGGCTCCAGTGGGTGGGTCCTCCCTCTAGTAGAGGCTGTGCTGGGTGCAGTAGTGAGCACACAGCTGCCGGTGGTACTGTAGGTGGTAATCTTTCACCAGCTTGCCCAAGATGTACAGGAACTCTTCAAAGCAGATCTGGTTGTCCTTATTTTTATCAGCGGCTTGGAAGAGCTCTGTGATATAGTATGGCTGCTTACGGCCCTGTGGAGTATATAGAATCAAACACCCACCGAACTGGGCCTGCGGAGTATGTAGAATCAAACACCCACCGAGCTGGGCCTGCAGGGCACCTGCCCTCCAGGATTCCCCTCCACCACATGGGATTTGAGGAATCACAGCAGCATGGCACCCCCTGCAGGAAACAACTCCTCATACAGAACCATCACATGCTGCAAAATCAGGCTGAAGAGGCACAAGTGTGATGGACACCAAGGGTCCTGGACTTAGAGTGGCATGGGCACAGACAGAGGTCAAAGTGGCACTCTTCACAGGCAAACTGTAAGCAGGTCCTGAACAGTACTTAGCAGCCTGGCGTGCCCAGTCCCTCTTCTGCGATCTGACTTCCCAGCTGCACTGCAAACTCTCCTGGAGTGACACACACCCCAACCCACGCAGGCTTCCTGAAGACAGGACGCTGCCTTCCTTCTCCACCAGGGCTCCCCAGGGCTGTTCCCCAGAGAGAGAGACAGAGAGAGAGAGAGAGAGGGAGAGAGAGAGAGAGAGACAGAGAGACAGAGAGACAGAGAGACAGAGAGACAGAGACAGAGAGACAGAGAGAGACAGAGAGAGACAGAGACAGAGACAGAGACAGGTTACCAACCCTAGAAGAGTGGGAGGCTTCCAGTCTCTGACAGGCTCTCCGCACCGCCCTCATCTCCCTCATCAAGGCCCACTTTTACCAGGCCTGCCAGCTATGCTCTCGTGCATATCCCCAAGAATACTGCACCAAAGTGAGACTGAGCCCCATGACTGCGGGCCTGGGAGGTCCAGGAGCAGCCTCAGGATGCCTGTGCTCAGGGCGCAAAGGAAAGAAAGAACAGTTTGGGATTAGGATGGAGTCTCAAGGATTAGCTGTGTACAGGTTGGACTGACATAAATAGGGAACCTCAGGAAGGGAAGGTCAGGAAATAAAGCAAACCCTGCTGTCTGCACTCCCTCCTTCTTCCCTCCACCATCCAGGGATTCAGCTCCCTCCACCCAACTACCTCACCCCTTACTTCCAACACCATAAACACTCTCTGCGTACCGTGGTCCCTTCTCCATCTCCATCTCCATCTACCCCAGCTGCACACCCTACATACCAAGGTGTCCATGAAGCGAGGCACACTGTCCATGAGCAGGGCCTTCAACTCCTCCAGGGACAAGGTTTCCACGTCGCCTTCCCTGGCAGCGTAATGGTGGAAACAGTGGATTATTTGGAAGAGAGATTCCTCCACTGGTGTGTCTGGCATGACTGCTGTGCCCTGGCACAGGGAAGGGACAGATCTGCAGATGTAGAGGTGGGACACCTGGGACAGTGGAGATTCTGTGAAGAGGAAACAGAACCTGATCTGTGTAAGTCCGGAGTAGGACAGATGCTTCCTCCCAGAAATGTCCATCCTCCTGCCCACTTTCCTTGCTGTCTCCTCACAACACTCTAGCTGGTCTTGTGTAACTTGACTCAGTGTCCTGCATGATCTTTGGTCAGGGTGAGTCCCTTCCCTGGGTCTGAGGGCCTCCCAGGTGCAGGAATGGTCTCCTCCCAGATAACAGTCAAGAAAGAGAACAAAGGTTTATGTTGTTTACAATGAAAATTTTTTAATCCTTGAAAAGGCAACATCCCCTCCACTACAGTAAACTCTTTATGGGACCAGCAGAACATTAAAACAATTATGTTACTGAGGAGACCCCGGCCTGGTCTTGTGCGGTTCATCTTGTTTCCCTTCTCGCAGAAATGCACGGACAGCACAGGGCTTGCTACTTTTGTCCCTACCACTACCTGGCATGTGATCCTCTCTAGAAGTGACACCCTCAGCGTGGTCCCTTTGGCCCCCCAGAGTTCTGTGCACCATCCATCTGATGCCCATGATCCCTGGCTCCATACTTCCTAGAGAAATGGAGGTGATAGGACACAGCTGCCCTCCTTGGACCTATGCAATAAAAATTGTAACAACCGTTGATCCCACCCCTGGGCCAACTAGACACCAGGTGAAGCATCTTATACCCATTGTTCCACTTAACCTTCTCAAGAGTCATATGCAGTGAGTATCATTGCCCTGTCCTCCTGAGGGGAAAGGGAAATCCAGAGAGGTCAAGGAATTTACCAAGAGCACACAATAGCTACGCCTGGATTTGACCTCAAATCCAGGTCAAATGTGGGCAAGTCCAAAGACATGCTTTCCATCTCGGCTCCCAATCCCTTTGTGGCCGCAGTTCCATTTCTAGGCACTCAACCCGCACTGCACACATTCTCCAGAGCAGCCAAGCTGAGGATCTCTGCTGTCTAGGACATACGCACACCCAACACAGCCCACACCACCCCTGAGACTTTTCTTGGAAGAGGCACTAACCTGTTGCTGTCAGGGCAGGCTGCTTAGCATCCACAGTCCAGCTTGGGCTTAATCCTGGAGATCTCCAAATTCAGGCGGGAGGCAGCCTGTTGAGCAGGGAATAACAACCGTTGATCCCACCCCTGGGCCAACTAGACACCAGGTGAAGCATCTTATACCCATTGTTCCACTTAACCTTCTCAAGAGTCATATGCAGTGAGTATCATTGCCCTGTCCTCCTGAGGGGAAAGGGAAATCCAGAGAGGTCAAGGAATTTACCAAGAGCACACAATAGCTACGCCTGGATTTGACCTCAAATCCAGGTCAAATGTGGGCAAGTCCAAAGACATGCTTTCCATCTCGGCTCCCAATCCCTTTGTGGCCACAGTTCCATTTCTAGGCACTCAACCCGCACTGCACACATTCTCCAGAGCAGCCAAGCTGAGGATCTCTGCTGTCTAGGACATACGCACACCCAACACAGCCCACACCACCCCTGAGACTTTTCTTGGAAGAGGCACTAACCTGTTGCTGTCAGGGCAGGCTGCTTAGCATCCACAGTCCAGCTTGGGCTTAATCCTGGAGATCTCCAAATTCAGGCGGGAGGCAGCCTGTTGAGCAGGGAACCCCCCCGCCACATCATGCCCCACATCCTTGCCCATTCACAGTGTACTCATTTATGACAGCCAGTGTATGACTCTCCACAAGTTCTGCAGCAGGACCAAGCCTTAACTGCATTCCTGAGATGACCTCACCACAGTCCCTGCTAAGATAAATTCATCTGGCTTTAAGGACCCACCTGCAGGATCTGAAACATCTAAGAATCACAAAAGGTCTCATTATCCATCCACTCTTCAGATGAAAGCTCATCCTCCCAGCTCCAGGGCCACACTTAAACACAGGTTCCTTGACCATCCTCCCTCAATTAGTGAACCTCTGAGCCACAGTCATGAAGCACATTTATCCACTCATCCAGTAAATATTTCTCAAATCCTTGCAGTATGCCAGGCCCTCTACTAGGCAGTGAGACACTGGGCCAGCTCACAGGGTGGGGTTGAATGAGGGGACTGACAGTCGTGCACTGTCACCATTCACTGTGAACACTGAGCATCAAGAACAAGGTGCTCAGGAAAGAAGGTTGCTTGGGGAGTGAAGGGAGGTGCTGCCTGAGTAGGGTCTTGATGAGGAACTTGATGAGTTTGGAGGAACAGATGACCAAGCGCTCCAGGTAAAGGAACGGCGTGAGCAAAGTCTTGGAGGTATGAAAGAGCATGGCCTGCTCTGGGACGGAGTGCACAGGGTACACAGAGCGCTTAGAAGGACAAAGTTTCAGGTAGCGTGGAGACAAAGGGTGAAGACCCTGTGTGCCAAGACAGAGGTGAAACCTGCTCCTCTATGTGCAAGGAGCTAAGAGAGTGTTTTTAGTGACCTGGATGTTGTGTGTGAGGTGAAAGACAGGTCCTGGCCAGCTTTGACCGATAGGAAATAGCCAACTGCAACATGGAAGTGGCTCTACTGAGAAGCAAGCCAGACCTGCAGCCCTGGCCTCCACACAAAAGTGGCAGGCGAGCTCCCCTTCCCCATGTCACTCCAACTGTACAAGCCTTTTCTCAGTGACCTCTTCTACCTGACCATGTGAACCCATGCAGCAGCCCCAGAACCACACAGGCTGGTGAGTGTGTGTCCCGGAAGGTGGCGCCAAAGAACAAGTAATTGGTCCACAGACTGAGTCTAGGTATCCCTGAAGGTTTATTAAAAGATAAAGGTAGATGCCTGGCATGATGCTCAGTTTATATATAACATATATTGTTTTCCAGTTTGCCCTCATCTACCCAATGAAACAGTTTCCTCAACAATAAGTCTTTTATAGAAAATGACTCAAATTTCTCAACTACTCAGAAATGCAGAACTAAAACCACAGAGAATTTTACTAAATGTCTTTGATTCAACCATCATTTCTCCAGGAAATCAATTAACTAGGGGTTAAAAGCAATAATCAGGAAAATACTCACCACTGAATATCAATAATCAAGGAATATAGGCGAATGAAAAGCTTGAAATCGTGTAATTATTGCTTTTACTACTTAGGCAATTGGTCTATAATACATTTTTCAAGAAAAAGTCTATTTAAGCAGGGCTTGCTGGTGTATATTTGCAATCCCAGCACTTCAGAGGCAGAAGCAGAAGAATCAGGAGCCAACCAACCTGTGTTACATGAGACCTTGTCCCAGGAAAATAGAAAGAAAAAGAGGAGGAGGAAGAAGAGGAGGAGGAGGAGGAAGAGGAAGAGGAGGAGGAGAAAACCCCACTTCTGACTTATGGCTTGAAGGGATCAGATTATATTCCCCTTCTCTCTGCCTTTTGTTCAGTACAGGACCAAATACTCAACCCACAGAATTCACCAGGGAAAGCGTGCTCCTTCCACATCTATGCTGGGCCCATTCCTTTTATCTAATGTTATCTTGCAACTTTGTCTAATGTTATCTTACAGCTTGATCAATATAGATATTGGATATATAGTGAAAATGTTAAAGCGTCAAATTTGTCTTACTAATTCACTGTTGGTAGACACCAATTACTTTTAAGTTCAATATCAAGTGCTCCTTTATACTGATATTTCTTCAGAGTTTGGTCACGTTAGGTGTTAGAGGGACAAAACCGAGTTGAACAATATTTTGCCTTGCAGGTCAGACATCTAGACAAAAATTCAAGGTAGTGTGCTTAGAAAAGAACCACAAGCTTAATGCAAATCGTGAATTCCCCAACTGTGTTCATACCGCCTGCATCCCAGCTGAGGTACAACACCACGTTAAGGCGATGCCTGACTCTTAGCACCCGTTAAAGCCAAGAGTGGGGTCTGATCAGTTCTGAGAACTAGTTCCTTCAGATTTCTCCCAGAACTGTGCTCCTGAGCAAAGGCTTTGCTCTATCTTTATTGAAACAATACAGCAACAAGATGGGGGGCAAAGCAGAACCTGTCTTATCAGGGGAGAATTTATCCTTTTCGACCCCTAATGATCTAGAACAGCACTCACAACCACGAATAGGTGTCTTCAGTCTAATCCCACCTGGTTTACAATATAAATAGGGAATAATTTATTGCAATTGCGGCTTTCAAAGTTTGGTATTCTCACAACATACACACACATGCATATATTATTTGGGGTCAGGGCCAAGAAAGGGTCATAAGGGATTAAAGCTATATGCTTAGATTTCAAGAGGAAACCAAGACCTAATAAGTTTGCTTACATTGTAAACAAGCTAATATAGTGTCCCCAAAAAGTCATTCTCACACATCCCACCACTGTGACGAGGCTAAGTTAGTGACACACTAGCATCTCCACCTTTAGATCCTTCTGATTGTGGAGACCAGTCACTGGAAGCAATAACTCGTGTGTTCAGAAGCCCCAGCAAAAAGGAAGTAAAGCTGTCTGGGTAGACAGAGAAAGAGGTCAGTCCTCTCCTTGGCCCAGGGCTTCAGGGATAAAAATCTCCAGACGGCAATATTAAGAGTTTGAGCTAACAGAACAGTGAGGTGGGGTGGGATGGATCAAGCAAGCACTTAAATTTCTTTATATGTGCCAACGTGGTACCAGGGTGATAAATCAGGTTAGACTGTGACATTCTAAAGCTCCCAAGGAGTGGTGACATATTGCTGTCACCCCATCACTCAAACAGCTGAGGCAGCAAAAGCATGAGTTGCAGGTTAGCCTGAGCTACAGAAAGGAAAGAACCAAGAGAAGGAAGGGAGGGAGGGAGGGAGGGAGGGAGGGAAAGAGATGTATCTACTTTAAATTTTATGGACAATTTTATCTGCAAAGTTAGAACAAACTGATACCGTAGTATATCTGAACCATGTGACAGGGCTGTGCTTGAAGGAGTGGAGGACTGTGAGACACCTTAGCTTCTTTGGGAGATTTTTAGAATCAGAATATGGTTTTGTATTTCTGGATAATTGACTCTGCCACGTGAAAAAAATAGACTAGGATCAGAGC